GCTTGTGGAGCTGCAAACCCGCTGCTGTCTGGGGGCGGGGGGAGGGTTTGATGGAGAGCACTCCTCTCCCAGGCTGCTGCTGCGTGCCCGTGGCTCACAGGTTCCTGCCACCGCGCTTGCAGGTACTAAAGCTTTCAGGCGTGATACGCTGCGATGATTTGGTTCAATCGGCTCACGGTTGATCCATAGCCCCTGCTGACCGGGTCCGAGCTCTGTCTGCACAGGCTTCACGCCAACGTGATGGAAGAGACAGAGCTTCAGACGCTTTTCCAGAGCCAGTATCTTTTATTTGCAGTTTATGGTGGGATGGAAGAAGTATGCCTTTGGCCTGAAATGTCCCAGGCAGGGCAGGCAGGGAGAGCTGGGCGTGCTGCCGCTGGGGGCCGTTCTGGGTGCCCCCAGCCAAGGCAGCTGCCCACCCGTGGCAGCCCTACTCTGTCTGCTCCAGGATCTCTATGTTCTCCAGCTCCTCCTGCAGACTGTCAATGTACTGAACGATCTCTTTGACGCGGTCGCGGTTCCTGTCGATCTCGTTTTGGAAAGCCTGAACAGATTGAAACCAAGCAGTGAATCCGCAGGCTTGTCGGGGTCCCTGGAGCACAGAGGGCTCCAGCAAAGGCTAGGGAGGGTCTTTCCTAGCAGCGACCTCGCCACTTGGGCCCAGCCTGTGTGTGCCCCATCCCCCTGAGCAGGAGGGTCTCTTACCTTCTCTGTCACGGAGGCCTGCCAGCGGTAGGTGTTGCTGAGGATGTCGCTCTCTCGCTTATTAATCTTCAGCAGGCGGATGCCATGGGACGCGTTGACCGCGTTGACAATGGTGTTTTTGTCCACAAGAAGCTAGGAGGTAACGTGACCGGATGAGAGGAGGGGGGCGGGCGAAAGCAGTGGAGCTCAGAACTACCAGCACAGTAACTGCAGCGCTCGGGGGAAGAAAATCAGCCCTCTGAGTACAGACAAAGCCGGAATCATCAGGAGGAATCCAGCACCTTACCCCTTGCAAGGATGTGTCCGGGTCTTGCTACAGTGTAATGGCATATTATCCCTAGTACGGGTGGGGAAACTGAGGCAGCACCAGCAGCCTCCACTGCCAGAGCAGGGCGCAAGCGGC